AATAAGCTGTCTTTGTCTGGTTTATGACTCATTTTCGTGGGAAACAAGGGAAGGTTGATTAATGCTCTGAGAAGATAATGGTTAGGGAAGCTGCAGTGGCCTCTGCCAGTTAGCACTTTCCCAACAGCAGTGTATGGGAGCAACCAATGCCAGTGACCCTGCATGTCACGAGCTGAGACTTAGGAGCTAAGCGCCCCAGGTGCTTCCCACCTTCCCCAGGGGAGGAGGAGCAGTGACAGGGCTACGGTACAAGCAGGAGGTACCTGGCTCCGCAGGGATCAGGGTGCTTGGCTATAGGAAAGGGCTGGTCATGACACGCAGGTATGTGCCTTAGCAACCTGGCAATGTCAGCCGTAGCTGCTGCAGTCAGATAGGCATGGGGATCTGCCTGGGCCAGAAGTCATGTACCTCTGTAAGAATGCAGATTTGATTGTAGAACTGAAGCTAATTCTTATGTATCTTAAAGGATAGATACACAGTTATCTCCAGGTGCCTTTTTTAGTGGGAAATGTAATACATTCATTGTCATTTACTCCTGCTTTTCTTTCTTGCTTTCTTTCTCTAGCTGCGTTCCAGATCATAGGCTTGGTCATCTACCCAGTGAAATTCGTAGAAGAAATTCAACTGACGGGAGATAATATGTTCAGCTGGGCCTATGGCTTTGGCTGGGCCAGCACTGTTGTTGTAATAGGTTGTGCTTTCTTCTTCTGTTGCCTCCCCAACTGGGAAGATGAAGTCCTGGGAAACATCAAGCCTACCTATTACTACTCCTCCCCAGAGAGAGCACCATACTTAAATTGAAAGATTAAATCCGAGTACAATCAACTGTCAAAAGAACAGAGGAGCACCTCTGATGTAAATTTGGTGCGATTATAGGAGACTGAAAAAACCCACCTTATCTGCCCAGAGTATTTCTTAATAGCCCTGGCAATAAATTAGTAAAAACATTGGCACCTTTAAGCAAGTAGCTTTTTACCTAAAGTATTATTTATGTATTCTCATGTCGATTTTGTTTGGGTGGTTTACTTGCTCCTTCCCCTCCCAACTTGAGTCATCCTTATTTTATTCAAACATTTACTTATGAATAAAGATGTAGTGTTTCAAGTGTAGAAAGGAAGAGGAGAGATTTTAAACAACCCCTCAGAGGGACCTGCAAATTATTTTATTTTCACTTCTGACAAAATTGCCTTAAATGGAACTAGAAAAAAACAACCTTCCAAAGAATGCCTCTTCTTCCACCAAAGTCAGTCCCAAGGGAGGAACTTCCCTGAGACTGTCACAGTCACTTGCTGCCTGAGAATCTCTTCTCATGCCTGTTACTGGACTATTGTTGACTATTAGCTATTTGAAATAAATTTTAATTTTATTTTCCACCAAGTGGTGCTGTTAAATGGAGATCTCCTCTAAAGCATGGAGCTGGTGTGCTTGACAGTGGCTAATGTAACATTTACTGGTGTTTTTGTGGCCTCTGCAGGACTTGTGATGGAGCCACATATCTTTTAATATACGCTGTCACAGAGAGAATCAATGAACTTTCAGATATTAAACTACATATATTTTTACATGGTGTTTGAGGGATGCTGATTTGGAAAATACCTACTTCTGAGTAGAAACATACACTGTTCTTCATGTCTACCTTTTTAAACTGTAGTGTTTTATTTGTCAGCTGTGCTTTGGAGGGAAATCTTAGCATAAGGTATTGGAAACCTCCAAAAGATTCTAAAGCACACTGTAAGTATTCCAGAGTTTAGTAAACTTGAGGATGCTTTCTGAGTCACTAGGGATAACAGATAAAAATAGGAAATCAGTTCTGCGAGCAATTTATATATGCAAACTTCCTACAGACACCCATCTTGGAGAGTAACCTGGCTGGCTCCTAGCTTGTATTTCTGGAGCCAGCAATTCCAAACAAGTATTCCAGCGAGGCAGAGCCGTGTCTATGTTGGTCATGGACCTGCAGCAGCTTACAGCAGATTTAATTATGGTCTATAATCTTTGTCAGAGCTTTCTTCAGCTGGGGAAGAAGAAGGAAGAGGCTTATTTGTGGAGCTCCTCTTCCAGCCATGGGGGAAGTAGCTCTGGCAGAGACAGATTTCTGAGGGGGGTGCAGGTGGGGTGGAAAGCAAATGCTACGTGTTATTCTGTGAAACAAGCAGCTGGGGCCTTACTTCCTACTCTCTTGAACCCAGTACTTAAAAGAGGGTAAGTTTGTGGATATATGTATTCATGCACATGTACAAAATAGAACTTACAAAGCCTTAACCAGCATACTGTAAAGCTAAAGTAACTTACAACTAAGCTTTTTTTAGTGCCCAATACTTCTTGTATTATATATTGTACAGCTTTCTGTTTTGTAACACCTTTTTTAATTTGGTAATTCTACATAACTGCATATGATCCAGTTTTGGAAAGGACAGGTGACTTCTGAAGGTCCTCTCCAGGACTGTGTTTTGTAACTTTACAGAGCATAGACACCTGCAGGCTTCAGACCTGTGTTACAAGCTCAGTCATGGCATATACAATCAACTGTATTTATGATTCTTGATGAAGAGACCCCTGTGACAAATGTATTTTAAAAAAAAAAAAATTTCCTTTTCTGTACAGTACTGGCCGGTGGGAATACTGTCTAGATTTATCTGTATCATGAATAATGATAGTACCTACTTTCTAGTGAATTCAAAACACAGCAGAGAATCCCAAGTCTGGAAAATCCTTGCACAGCCAAAGCTGAGAAGGAGAAAAAACATAAGAAAATGGACACGTTTCCTAATGAGAGGGAGGATGGTATGGTAATGGGGTGTAGCATAAGTTAAATCTTTTGTATGTTTTTTTTACGAGTGTTGTCATGACTTGTCAAAAAAGCACAAATGTAAAATAAACTTGGCTCTCGATGTACTGGGAGGGGTAGAAACATAACCAGCATGTTACACAATTATGATGTTTGGGAGAAAGCGATTGCAAATAGTCATTAATTACTCTCAAGTGATACTAATGTATGTGGCACTCCTTTCAAATGTGGTGGCTTAATTAAAACTGTTTTAACTGACAGTTGTAGAAGCTTGGTGGTGTTTGTGGTTCCTGGATTCATTTCATAAATTCAAGCAAATAGCCACTCTTTACTTCTCTTAACGTGAATATCAGTATCTATGAAGTGTCAGATTAATAAAATGAAGTTAAAGACCTCGTATGTCCAGGAGACAACAACTTCATTTTCAAGTCAAATCAGCTTGGATATACACTGCAGAACACGTCTGTGTGCGTTCAGCGGAAGAGCCAGGTATAGAAAGCTCTTTGCTGAGCCAAACCCTCTGAAATCACAATTTGGCAGGGAACTCCAGGCATTTTAAATACATAACGGACTACAGGAGGTCTCAGATGTGGGATGCCTGTTTTTTTAATCAAAGTTGTGCCAAGTACCTTTCCTGCACTGATCAAGAACTTTAAATAGCAAGAGAAAGCATGGAATTCTCGCCTGCTATTTTCAGTGGGAGACTGCACTTCTGGGATTAGAAACCTTCCCATTTCTAACCTCAGATTATGTTTGGCCCACATACAGCCCTGTGCTAGTGATGTTCTGTGTCTAGAACTACTCTTTTTTCCTCTGTTTTTACAGAGAGCAAATCTCCTCTCAGCCACCGCCGTCTTAAACCAGCCTGCAGCTTCTGATTTCTGGAAAGAGGAGTTCACCATTCTCCTGATTTTTTTAGCTGTCCTCTTCCTTAAATGTCTTAGTTTTAAAACACACTGAGCACCCTGAATTTTGGCAGCTTGCATGGGTTCCTTTTGGGTTTGGGGTTTTCCCCTCCCTCCTTTAATTACTCTTAATTTTAAAATGCAGTTAGGAAAAATACTTTTGTTCCTTTTCGATTTTCCTAAATGCTTGGAAGATAATCAGAGGGTTTGTATAATGCCCGTTTTTTTGGCATGAAGGACATTTGGACTCTTGTTTACCTACCAGTGTGTGTTCAGCTGCAGCCTAAATCTCTGTTCGCTCCAATCCACTGAGCAACTCCAGCGAGCTTTGGGCTGTAGGGTAGCTCCTTCCGACCTAACCCTGGCAAGGAGAGAGCAAGTCAGGAGCATCTGAGCACACTCAGCTCTTGTCTCGGGGGGAGTTATGAGCAATCAAAAACATGCATGACTGGCTGCTAGGGAGGGTTAATTGACCTTAATGGGATGATTAATGCTCAAATCTCATGGATATGGGAAACAGCTGCCGCACCCCACTGGGATTTTTTATTTGTAGTTGACGTAACAAGTGACTAATTTTTTAGACAATTCCTTGACAAGGTAAAATTCCTAAGAAGTATTCACCTGACCTTTCCATCCTGCATCTAAGGACTTGTGGACCTAGAATACATACATAAATCAAGACAGTGTAGTAACAGATCACTGAAGGTATTTTTTTTTGTGGGGGAGGGTTGTTATGGTGATAAGCACTACAGAAACAAAACACCCACGTACAAAAGGGAAAGGTTGCACACACAATAAAAGAATTGCTGAGATCACTGAGCACTTTTGAATTAACGATGAACGAAGCACATACATCAATGGAAACCAAATGCTTTAGGAGATTCCCAACAGCCGAGAGAGCTGAGGTACTGGTCCCACAACACAGAGCAGTGGAGGTTACTGGCAATATGGAATAGCATCCTGAAAAGAACGGAGTTTTCAGTGCTAGCAGGTGGAGGTGCAAAGATTCTAAAACGAGCTTGGGAGATGAAAATCACAACCAGAATAAAGTATAATCAAATCTGGAGGATATGTTTGCCAAAAATAGGGATACTGAATTTCTGATTGCGGTTGCTGTAACAGATGTCTGTACAGGAGCGGTGAAATCCATGTGCAATGAGATCACGGCACCGGGGATACATCAGTGTTACTGCACTGATATGTGTAAATCCTGTTGACCAAGAACGTATCAATTTTGCTGTGCGTGTACGGTGTATTTGTAAGATGGGTCTGATGCATCCACTGCACTGGTCCGCACTGGTCTGGGAAGCAGCCTTGTGTCTGGGGTTACCTGGCATGCAAAGGTGGGGGCCAGACTACTCCAGCTATGGAGCCTGGCACCCAGAAATTCCGGGCAAAAAGCCAATGCCCTCGAATTTTGCCTCTATAAAATTATATTTAAATGACTTGGGAGTTGTCAGAATAATCCAAAGGGTGTTTTTTATTGTGATTTTTGAATACCTAAATTTAATAAGGCTTTATTTATAATAAAGACTGTAGTGGAAAACATGCAGGCATGTCTAGAGCTTTATAATATAAATAATATAACTATTCTAAATAATATAAATAAATAATAATGTATGATCAGTAATATGCATTGTATAATATAAATAATAAATATAAATGTCTCCATGAATGGTATTCCTCATGGGTTCGACTTTGCATGCTTGGATAACACTTACTAAAAGAGTTGGTATGACAATTGCTTTTTATTTATTTATGGGCTTGTGGGCAACACATACTATTTTCCACAGAGATCTTTACGAATATAGAATATTTTAGAAGCATTAAAAATCGCTAAGCATCAAGGGGACACATTGGAAATCAGAGTTCACTGAGTTTGAGAGGGCCCAGAAAGGTTCAGAGTGAGAACTGACATGGAACTGTGAGCCTAAAAGCCATCTATCTCCTGTCCTCCACTGCAGTGCCCTGGGAAATGATCATGGATTAAAGTATGCTGGTTGACTGTCATGGTCTTGGAGGGACCATGGACACAGAGGCATATAATTGAGGCAGGAGCTGACATGGAGCCATTACAATCTCTCTTCAGTAAATAGCCTATTTTTAAGCTCTCTTTGTGTTAGCAATCCCATAGGATGAGAAATAAGCAGATCTTTTAATGAAAAAATAATTTAGATGAATCATGATACTTGAAAATGAATTCTGTTCTGATTTGCAATAGAAATACAAAATAACTTGCAAAACACAACTGGGGAAAATCATAACTGGCATTTTGTATACAGACTATAGGAAAAGTTGAAAATGTCGGTAGGAGACCACTATTCTCATTTCAGATGGCTTCCCAAATCAATTCCGTATCATAGAATCACA